ACTATAAAAAAAAAAAAAAAAAAAAAAAAAAAAAAATGGCGAAAAATGTCCCGAGACGGATTTGTAATAAAAAAAAAAAAAAAGAAAAAAACTGTCGCAAATTAATAATAATAATAATAATAGTAGTGAAGTAGGATATTTTGTTGAAAAATTATTGCTTGCAAAAAGCCTAAAAAGCCGCTTTATTATTATTATTATTATTGCAGGCCTTGTTTTTTCTATTCGTCAATTTAATTTAATACAAAGGGATTAATTTTATTTTACAATAACCGTTAAATACTTTGCGTTATCTCGACTATTATTATTATTATTATTATTATTTGTAAAAAAGTAAGAAAATTTTCCCGCATTTGGTATCGGTGGATTTTTTTTTTTTAATTAAATTTTTTTATAGACTGGTGCCACTTTTTTTTTTTTTTTTTTTTTTTTTTAACGTTTAAAAAAAAAGGTTTTTGTTTACCTGAATTAATTATGATGGCAGATGATAAATTCTTAAAAATAAACCTTTTTTTCGTACCTGAATCGAAAATTATTATTTAAAAAAAACGAAAAACGTGAAACTAGGTTTTATGTTATGTACTCTCTGACTCTCTCTGACTTTCGAGAAAAAAAAAGAAAAGCGAAAAATTTTATTCGGGGGAGAGGAGGGGAGGGTAGGAAGGAGGGGAAGGGGGAGGGAGTTTATATTTTATTAATAGAAAAATGAGAGCTTATGCTGTGATTGCTATTCCTGTGATTTTGAATGATTCGCTTGTTGAAAACTTTTTTTTTTGCGTTCGAATAGGCCCCTCGTAAAAGTTTACGATTGTAAAAAAATTATTTATTTATTTATTTATTTATTTATTTATTATTCGTCACGTCCGAAACCGAAAACCGAAATTATTGAGGTATTCAAATGGGCCTCAAATCGGCCTTGAGACCCTCAACCAAACCGTATCGTATCGAACCCAATGCTGCTGACACAGTCAAACTCTTTAATTATTATTATTATTATCATTATAAAGCAAAATTGTTTTCAGGCTTGATTAAAGAATTCTCAGGCAGGTTTTTTTTTGTTAATTAAATAAATTGGCTATGGGGCGAGAGTATCAAATGATGGTCGGAAACTTTAAAAAAAAAAAAAAAAAAAAAAAAACTTTTAATGGGGAGCAGACTTTGCCCCCCCATCAAACATTTCTTAAAATCGTTTTTAATTAAGAAAACCCGAAAAATTAATTTCGTTTTATTATTATTATTATTAAGCACGGTTAGGTAGGTGCCTGCCTGTACGTCGTTGATAACGTGAGTCTTGTAACAAATGTTAGAACTGGATATCCGGTTTATCGTCGTGATAATAATTGAAATCGCGGTCCAGAATGTTTGCAGATTCTATTTACACGTTAAAAATTTTTTCTTAAAAAGTTATCTTCGCCATTTTTTTTTTTTTTTTTTTTGTTCGTTTCTAATTGACACAACACACTCGAAGACAAGTTTTCCCTTTGGCTATCCGACGCACACACACGCCAGGTCGCGATATGTCGAATCGATGATTTTAATAAGAAACCTTTCGTGAAATAATAATAATAATAATAATAATAATAATTACAATTGCTCCGGGCTGAGAAAAACGTATTTGAAAAAAAAAAAAAGAAAATTTTTTTTCGTATTACATTGTAGAGAATTCATTGTTTGATTTAATGCCAATGACATTTTTTTTTTTTTTTTTTCTATCGAAGGGTTTGACTAGGTACGTACCTGACTTGGGTATCATCGGGTGCAAAAACCCCTCGAGGGTTATATATATATATATCCATTCTCGATTCGAATCTCATTTCGTTGGGAAAGAGAGAAAGATAGAAAGAGAGAGAGAGAGAGGGAGAGAGAGAGAGGGAGAGACTTTTAATTTTTTTATTTGTTTAACGAGTGTCTCTCCTTAAACTTTATCTGTGTGAATTTTGATACAAGAGCTTAATCGTGAAAAAAAAAAAACAAATTATTATTATTATTATTCCGTCCCTGTTTCACATTATCGCACTTAGTAAGATACTTGAAAGATACGGGTTTTATTTTTAACCCGTGTTAAACACGTGAAACGTTCGGATCGAACCGTTCGAACAATTAAATAATAATAATAATAATAATAATCTCTCGGTAGTTTCTTTTTAAACATCATAATTATGAATAATGTGAATTTTTATATTGATTTACTTTGGCTGTCACAAAGGCGAGACTTTTTTTTTTTTTACGTGTAATTTGACCCTAAACCTATTATTATTATTATTATTATTATTATTATTATTATTATTATTATTATTATTATTATTATTATTATTATTATTATTATTATTATCTATTTATTTATTTAAAAAAAAATCAATTCACCTTATTTTTTATTATTATTAAATCACTGATAGTAAAAAATTATTTATTTATTATCGTAAGGAAAATTTTTGGCAATTTTGAATCGATAAGTTTTTCTCTCTCTCTCTCTCGATTTTAATTGTCGTTATTTTTTTGTGAC